GGGTTTAAGGGTTTAGGGTTTGGGAAGTTTGGGAAGTTTGGGGGGCTTTGGGTTTAATATTGGGGCCTTTAAGAATTGGAATAGAGCTTGGGGATGCTTGGGGTATATTAAAGTCTAATCATAATCAGGAACCAGCAAAACCCTAGTCTAACTGTTAAGGCCCCTACATTAGGTGTGATTATATGGATGTTTTGGGGGATTTGTTGTTGAGGTTTGGGGATGAAAGTAGGGTTTCAGTGAAAGGGTTGCAGGACTCTTCCCAACACAAATCGCTTTTCCGGTTTGAAGCAGATGGCGCTAGTAGGACCATCCTGAATGGATGTTGGAAGCCTCCTCTTTCCGTTTAAGTTTAGGGGCTTGACTTGTGTGGTTTTGACATCATGGCTTCAACGCCTCCTAAACTTGGAAACCACAACGGCCTTCGATGACAATGCCCGAAGGACTCCGACCCATGGGGAGAAACCCAAAAGCCTAGACGGACCTCCCGCCATGGCACTGTGCCTAGTGGACGGAACAATGGTCACCTGGCCCCACCGCAGACTAGCGCTCGGAGAGCTCACTGAAAAACTAAGTCGGCAAAGCCCTGAAGGACGTGCTCAGTGATCGGGTGGCGGCAGAGCTCCGCAAGCTCTGTGACCAGGTCGCGCCCTTTCCAGACGAAGAGGCGAGGCGTCTGGTGGTCACTCAACTGGGCTCCGGCTTAACCCTGGGGCGCTGCGTGGCAGCCGCGAGTCTCGGCCAGGCTCGGCATCCACGAAGTAGCCTCCGCAAGAAAAGTCGCATCCCAGAGACGCCCAGGTCTACTGCATCGAGAAAAATGGTCGCCAGTATGCACTGAAGGTGCAGCGGCCGGGTCTGAATCGTGCTTTGGCCATGGATGTCGTAATCCTGCCTCTTGGCGGCAATATGGATCAAGTCAGGAGCCGAATCTGTTGTCTGTTCAAGCATAAGACCACGCGTTTGGATACCGCACCACAGTATCAGACACAGCGGACGAGTGTGGTGTGAATGTTGCGTGTGTGTTGGTTGTTTGTTTGTGTGTGTGTGTGTGTTGTGTTTGTTGTGGTGTGTGGCGTACGTGCTTGTTTGTTTGATGCCTTTGTGGGTGTGTGCGCGCCGCTGGCCATGCATCAGAATTACATATTATACATCTTGGAGGGACAGCGACGAGGAATGACTAGCAAAGCAGTAGTACAGAGGCTCTCAGGCAGGACTCCAGCCAGCCAAGAGGAACAATCGACTGACTATACATACGTATATATATATATACACATACATACATACATACATACATACATACATACATATATATATATATAAAGATAGAGAGAGAGAGAGAGAGAGAGATCGGAGGAGGGGGCATATGCATGCAACGCGCCAAACTCCTCGTGGGGCAATGATTGCCGTTCTCGTTGCTTGAGCAAGTTGACTGGCTACGTGCAAGACAACGCACACACACACACACGGCAGCAATTCGCAACAGCTTCTGATCCGAAACCCTAAACCCTAAACCCTAAATCGCAGAGGAAGGGCATCGCCCGATTCCTTCGGCGTGTCATGCGCTGCTTCATGGCTGCAGCCGTGGACCCCGAACAGGCGACTCTTGGGGGGATCCAGAGGTTCGGGGATTTTTCGTGCCAAGGGCCAAGATGACAACAAACAAAGCAAAGACGTGCAACTCTTCGTGGCCGGTAGCCATGGTTTGCGCCCTCCGCGGATCTGTGTGGGTTTTGTGATTTGTGTTGAGGAGAAGTTCTTCTTTGTCCTTTCCGCCAGTGTGGGTTTCGAGTCGGCCCGAGTACACAAAGTGTTGCAAAGACTGTAGGAGTACTGGGTCTCCGACGGACCCCAACTTGCAGCAAAACCAAACCGCAACCTATACGCAATTTATATTCACATTTGCAGTGGTTGATAGCTCTGGGATTCCTTGGCATTCGAGGCTAGTGTTCATCATCAGAGCGTGAAGCGCTGAACCCCAAGCCCCGAGCTATGCTCGCTCTCAACCTGCCCCAAACGAGATATCAAAACCCTTCAAAAATCGTTGAACTAAACCTTGAAACCATGATGCCCTGGGAAGAAGCGCAGGTGGTGGACGAGTGGGCTAAGACTCTTTGGGACGAGTGCCTGGCTGCAACAGCCGGTGTGTGAGCTTTACATGGTTTCAGGAGTTTATGCCGCTGGTGTGATTGTTGATGAAGATCTCACCACAAAGAAGAACGACTAGGAATCCATGCGAACGTAGACTAGACTGCTATCATTGGTGCCGATCTTGTTCTGAGTGATATTTCTTTGGGTCTCCCAGGTTGGACTACAAGCACGAGGGACGGGCCATGGAGCACATGCGCGATGCGCTCTGCGGAACCGTCGGTGGACACTCCTCTGACCTGTCTTCTGAGCCGCGTAGTACTTTGATGGTGCCTTTGAGTTGGTGAAGAAGCGTGTAAGCACGGCTCGCGCTTCAAGCTGTTTCTTCGTCCAAGTACATCATGTCATGCTCAGCTGTTACCCGCCACTGAAAAATCCCATACCTTCGCCGATCTTACCGTGACATCATAGGATTGGTCATCCCCCGGGTCCACTGGGAGCTTACAGCCCTGCGGGTGCTGGCGAGCGAGTGCCCGGGCTCGTGAAGTCTTCGGGTTTCGGATGGCAGAGATCTTCTGGGGTCCAGGCTTCAGGGTCGTTTCGGATCTGAGATGTAGGGTCTGGGGTCTGGGGTAGTGGTGTACAATTTCAGGCTTCGCCGTAGCCATTCCTGCAATCTTCCCGCCCTCGACCCCACCACGAAAGGGATGGCGCTGGACTCCTGGAAGACTTGAGGCTGGGGGTTGGGGATTCCACTTGAATATTGAGCTGTCGTTACCATGAATCCACATCCTAAGCCTATCTTATTGTGGGATCATAGTAGCAGATGTATATTTTTTCGAGTTTGGCTTTAGTTCCGAGAACGGCAGACCAGGGAAAGTTGGCCGGCGCAAAGGCAGAGTGACCGTCCTTTGCACATGACGAGGCTGCTGAAGTTTGTATTGAATGATCAAGACATGCGACTTGAAACATCCAATTGAAAACTCAACAACTCTCGACGCATGTTTTGACTACATACTCTCTGGGCAGTCTCCGAGTAGTTTCCTTACCCCATTTTGCCAATTCTTGTGCTGTCGCAGTGCAGTCATGTCAAGTACTGACGAGTCTAAGACCAGCACGAGGTCATGTTGGACAGAGGAGGAGAAGTGCCAAGTAAAGGGTTCGTGTCGCAGCAGAGGCGATCGGAACAAGGACTTTGCTCGTAGCACAGCACCCACTTGCAAGGCTTGGAAAAGGCGACGAAAAGACGAGAAGACAACTGAATGGAATAAGTTTCGGAAGAGAAAACAATTTAGAAGCCAGTAATTTCACGATTGCAAATTTCGCGGGGACTGACAGGTTTCAGCAAGACAACTTTTGAGTAGAATAGCTATACTGTGCACACAGCGATGAAGAGCGAATGAGAAAGAAAGACAGTAGTGGTACAAGGACCAGCGTGAGGAAGTATTGCGGCTTAGGGTCTAGGCCCGTGTAGGCAGAGCATCCGGCCTCCGTTAGGTAGTAAGCAGTTCCGAACTTCAGTCTCTAAGTATGTGCTTCAAAATGTCTCGTTTCCTGTAGCATCCGGCCTCCGTTAGGTAGTAAGCAGTTCCGAACTTCAGTCTCTAAGTATGTGCTTCAAAATGTCTCGTTTCCTGTCCCTAACCCCTAATCCTCTAAACCCCTAAACCCCTAAACCCTATAAACCCCTAAACCCCTAAACCCCTAAACCCCAAACCACCTGGACATAAAGCAGCCTTCAGATGCAACCTCCACTCTCCATCCCCGAGCCCATGAGCAGAAGCCTGGAGCTTTTTAAGGTGGGTGGACGGCTTCAAAATCACGGAGGATGGGGCGGCCTCTTCTTTTTCGTCTTACTGCTTCTGCTGCTGCTGCGACTAACTAGTAACTACTAACTACTAACTACTAGCTACTAACTACTTACTACCAACTACTACCTACTACCTACTACCT